GATAGATAGATAGATAGATAGATAGATAGATAGATAGATAGATAGATGGATAGATAGATAGATAGATAGATAGATAGATAGATGGATGGATGGTGGTAATGGAAATGGAAAGTCATTAACAGTGCAGGTCCTTTTCAAGCCTGCTACTGCACCAATAATCTCTTACACAAATCTGGCAGGGCAGATGGTAGAATTGAAGCAATCACAGTCTGTTGTTTTCTTTGATGTATTTGTAGCCAAACATATTTTGGAATTAATAGCACGCTAGAGAAGACTTGTGTGAACCTGACCCTCAATAGGATTTTAATGGACTTTCTGTTGTAGACTCTTTCACTTTTTATTCCTAAACGTTTTTCATTAGCAACAGCTCCTCTCGTGGGAATACGTACACTATCTGACCTACACAGCCACGGGAGAGGTGTGAGGGAGGAGAGGTCTGAATAAGTGCTCACATACAACAATCACACGTAATAGAGGTGATTACGGGAATGTAGTGCTGTTACATATTACATAAATTTCCAAAACACTCAAGGATAGTTGTAATTGAGTGAGAGTGAAGTGAATTACTATGATCATTAAAATATAAATAAAACAATATGATTTAAAAAATCGGCCCCTGCAAATAAAGCACACACACACACACACACACACACAGAAACACAAACATCTTTCATTGACTATTAATTTATCTCACTCTCCATTCTGGTCTGTTGTCTAAGTGAGATGCACTAACACTCAAGGTGAACACAGATCAGTTGTCTAAACAGAGTGGCAATTCAGCTTAGCTTGCAGCCAGAGCATACAGCAGCATACTAAGCATGTCATATGTTAAAGTGAAGCAATGGCTCCACCATAAAGACTCGTATTTGTTGTTGTAACATTTCATTACAGCCTCAAGGAAGACACTCTCGTTCTACTGAATTGTGCATTTTCCTCTTCTAGGTTACCACCTTGCTAACATATTTACACATCAGTGTGTGTTAAAATAATGAAAATTGTGGGAGGGAGAGCAGTTTATCGATTTGTTTCTTGTTTAGAGAAGCACTTCAGAACACAAAGCGATGACAACATTGAAGACGTCACCCCAAAAAATGTGAATACAGCAGTGTCAGTAACTGTGGACGTGAAGCCCTTTCATTGCACTGTTCTTAGACGTGACCTGTTTTTAATCTAACAAAAGCTTAAAACATAAGAAATTATTTTCAAAAAAAGCATGAAAGGCACCAAAATCAATACGCCATTCTAGAATACTGAAGATCTTTTTACATTTATGTGGCATCAAACCATGTGGTGGATGAGTAATGAGTATTTAAATGCATTCTGTGTGCATTATGTGTGTGTCAGAAAAACTCAGATGAGCATACTATAATGAGTTGTATGTACGCACACAAACCATTGTTCTTTTTAACGTCAAATCGTTCATCATATAAGACCTGACGAGATCATTGATCCTAATGAAGTATACACCTGAACTTATATAAACACAGTCACATGAAGGAGACATAGCAGATTGTCTTTGTAGTCTTTGCCACAAAGCTTTTATCTCTCCCCTCTATTATTTACAACTCCTCACTGTGTTTTGACAAAATTGGTCCATATAGGTTAAGAGTAATGCATTTGTGAAAGCAGAGGGTGAAACAAGTACAGAAAGCGAGAGTGCATAAAAGTGTTCAGACAAAAGGTTTGTAGTGCTGCAGTGGAGTCAGTTATGTTTCGTGTACAAAAACGTATTCCATCTTGGTGTAAGTTATTCTCTTGGGATTAGAAAAAAACAAAACTTGTGCATCTTTCCACATTAAAAACAATTACAATGTCATTGCTGCCATTTCACAGTGCCTGCAGTGGGTCAATGTTGGCACTTCTTATGCGCTTCCATGCACTTTTAATAGCAGCCATTAATATGCAGTCATTTGCAAATGTAGACTTACATGTTTTATTTGGTGTGCTCATATATATATATATATGCTAGAAATGGCATCTAGCACATGTTAAGTGTGCTCACATATAACAGCTTAAACCTTGTCACACAAATTTGCTCTAATTACCACTGGTGACGCATACATCTTTTAAGTGTTGCTCACAAGGGCTGTATGTAGGCCATGCTGGGCTTCCTTTATAGGCATTCTAATAAGCCATTCTTAATCACTATGTGGTAATTAAATACCTTGAAGAGTTGTATTCACAGATGGCCAAAGAGCCAACCAGGAGGTTCGAGAGCGCCGTGTGGAAGCTGGTATAGGCAGATGTGTAGCTCAGCAACACAAAGCCCGCCTACACGTGTATGTGGATAAATTATGCCTCGCTCCTTCTGTCCCCCTCTTTCGTTGGGCTTGCATCACAATGTGTGGACTCGTGAAGATGTAAGCAGATGTAAACAGTTTAAGTGTCAAGACTTTACAACAAAACGTTAACAAATTTTTGTGATATTTTGATTGCAGTTTATTGTAATGGCGCACACGTTAGCACATCCACTCATTGTATGTTCTCTTATCCACCTAATTCAAAACCAAACTATTTTTGGTTGGTAGACCGTGAACGTGTACGTAAAGTTTTCAGTGATATATTACATCGTTTGCCTGGCATGGAAATGTGAGGCTATTTATTAATTTATGTGTTTTTCATTTATTGGTTTATTTAGCAGGAACATCACACATTAATACACATTGCAGTAAATGTGCCAAAGGCTAACTAAAATACTATTTTGCATCTGTAGTGTCCAGACTTTCTCACTCAAAAATATGATAAGAGATTCAATTTATTGAAATTGTTTATCAACATGCAGATCAGTAATAAAATAGAGTATTATGGTTGGTAGAAATATTTATGAGGTAGTATAACTATAATGGTGAATGGTTAAATACAGTAGCACTTTCATCCTTCAAGCCTCTCCTTCAACATCCCTGCACACTCACACACTAATGGCAGCAAGCTATCTTCTTCTACAGTTTCCTTTCACAGGTTAATGCATCATTCACATGACATCTGAATTGGACCGCTGTATACATTCATACAGTGCATTAACGCACAGTGGATTACAACATAAACTCATAAGTATTGGTAAATGTAACAAAATACATTTGTGGAGGATCTCATCTATGGTACCGCTCGAAGGGAGTTTGTACAGCGAGATTTAAGGATTCAGCCAAGTGCTTCTTTTTTATAGTTAGTCTACAGAACCTCGGTTAAAAGGCTTTGCAGTGAGTCCACGCTGAGAACTGAAAATTTAAAAAAAAACTTTTAACCATGATCTTACCAGGTCTTAATGTTCCTCAACTGTTCCAGTTAAAAGTTACTGCATTGTCCGATTTTTATTATTCTTCCATCTGTATACAATATTACTCACAATAAAGAAAAACATGGGTCAGACACAGAATCATTATTATTATTATTAATATAATTTATTATGAAACACATTTTTGTCATATAAATGTCATTTAAATAGGTCTTTATATATGATCTGAGTTGTGGATTTTGAGGAAAAGGTTACTTGTAAATATTTACTGCGGAAGAATATATCTAAACAATGGTATTAATGTCTCCTGAGTAACATTTTACAACCTGATGCCTCACTAATCAGCTCTCAGAATTAGGGCATTAGACTGCAGCAACAACATGAAGAAACTTTGACTGCTCTGAGTCTATTCTTTGATCTTGCCGAGTCGTCCTCTGAGAGGATTAACGTGTCACATTAGATAGTTACGGGCCTGTTGAGAATAATATAAGTCTTCCAGTTCCCCACAGTGTATGACAGCATGAATGAGAAATGCAAATCGCTCCACATTTAGACACTTTGTTTTTTTCCTATTATGCTCGGCACAACGTGTCAACATTCACTAGGGTGACGGGAAAGAAAAATCTACAGCCTTGGATAAAAAGGTTGTACATGGAAATTGAATTTATTGTAGCAGCAAAGTGCATCCGGCGGCATATTGAACAAATTCTTATGACTAAGCATGGGTTGTTTTACTGATACAGTGATCTCAGTCCAACATGCTGAAAGCACAGTCAGAACAGACGTGACCCTCCCTGTCACCTTCATGTGGTGTCACACACCGTGAAAAAAACGGACACGCCTCATATGCTTTTCACACCAAGTCTTGTGCAATCAATCCAGGTGATCCCTTCTATGAGTGGCAGGTCGGACAGGACTTGAGGAAACAAGGACAAATGTCTTCGTGCTGCAGCTGTCACTTTTATTTAGGAGCAAGAT